TCATCATCAGTTTCCATCTCTGCCGTTATTGCTCGATGGATAGCAATGTTTAGACTTTAGGCTAAGCGACGTGGGGAGGAATCGATTTTGACCCCTTGTGTAAGCGTCGGGGGGAGAAGTAGTTTTTGATCCAATAAAGCGTTGTGGGGAGGAATAGTTTTTGATCCATTGATAACATTACCCATGACTGGCCTTGTGGGTTCCTAGGCCGCATGTTTGAAGGACCAAAAATAGATCCACTGCCACCTAAAAAGCATTTTGAAAAAGGCGACTAAATAGGTCTTTGCTGAAATCAGATGTGTTGGGGCGAAAGATATTGCAACCTAGCTGTAAACCACAACATGCCAACCACCCTTTTTAGGGGCTAAAATAAATACAAATATCACCCTGCAGGGAATCAAATACAGGTCACAAGCGTGACTGGCAGAATACTTACAACTGTACTACCAAAGACTCCAGAATTATGATCACAGGAAATTATATAAACTGAAGCATAGTTCATAGTGTTCCTATTGCTTATTTTAACTGTATGACCTTTTGAGGCCCAGAATAGGATTTTTTTAACAGTAAATAATTTGGGACCGGTATTCGGAAGAGTGCCGAAGTTTCTCCTAAAGACAAAATCAGCAAAGATAATCAATTATTATACTAAGGGCATAATAAATCCACAACTTTAATGACACAATGTTCGTAAGTTTATCTAAATATTCAGAGTAAAATGTATATCATTACTGCAGCCCAAATCAAAACAATATTTGAAACAGTATGCAATAAACAATGTGCAATTGTATGCATGCAATTTAGATATTTATATACAATTATTAATATCCCCCTCCCCAATATGGAACATAGTTTTGTTGTTGTTGTTAAGTCCCACCTGGCTGTCATCAGGGCCTAGAGGGTTGAACAGGATATATTTTGAAAAATGACTACATGGGGAAAACATGTCAATGAAATATACTTTTTGTAAAGCTTTGGTTTGTACAATTCTCACTTCTAGAAAACATTCAGTGGAAACTGATAATTTTCAATGCAGATTTGTGAGGTTAGCTGTCAACATCATGGAGAGGGGCGCTAAAGTCAAGAACCAACTAAACAAACTCAATTTGGATTTCAAGAAAATAACTTTAAAACAAAAATGGCAAGCCTTGGACTATTTAAACAAGGATTGTTGCCTGTGACTCAGTCCACGCTTCACGAAGTTCAAAACAAATGTCTATGGTATGAGTGGATGCCGTCCATGCAGGCCTTAAGCAGTCAGAAGTAAAGGTTGGAAGGAACTGGGTATGGAAGTGAACAAAATGGCTCCAACATGTTGCTAACCAGGTAGCAGCAGGGACAATCAGCAGCTGCACATAAACTTGCAGACACGCACACACATCTTGACTTCTGCTGGCAGAGACAAACAAATCAGTCAGTGGTGACATCCCGCCCGAGATGGAGTGCTTCAAAATGTGGCAACCTGGTAATTATATTGATATAAGTTGCATATTTTTTGTTTTGCTGGAGTTGAAGACATACTGATTTGCATATGGGAGATTCCAAATTATATATATATATATGCGTTTGTGTGTGTTTGTGTGATAATATATAAAGATTTTTTTTAACCTATGCATTCCCCCAACCATATTTCGGTTTCCTGAACTCATTTTGGCATCCTATTTTTGTTATGGGCAAGTATATTCTGTGGGATGTTTTAAATTTCAGTTGTGTAGTTCTGTGTGCATTGTTAGCGTTCAATGGTAACAAAGTCAGTGTTGCTGCAGATGCAGACAGGTCAGTTAAATTTTTTATTGGTAATAAAATGACAACAATGAATAAATGAATCGAGAATCGACATCACTGCACTCAGGACATTCCCACACATGCTCTGTCTCCTTCTTCAGTTACAACAGATGAAAACACAAAGCCCAGAACACAAGGCTGAGATGATGTGCTGCACATTGTCAGTAACCATTCTAGTTGGATCTACAATCTACAGTACTACCAGTTGTTAAACATTCTAGTTGGATCTACAATCTACAGTACTACCAGTTGTTAAACATTCTAGTTAGATCAACAATCTACATTACTACCAGTTGTTAAACGTTCTAGTTGGAAACATGAATGATCATCATGTCATCAGTACTGTCCTCTCTTCTCATGTATGACTAACCATCAGTACTGTCATCTCTCCTTATATATGACCAACCGTCAGTTCTGTCATCTCTCCTCATATATGACCAACCATCAGTACTGTCATCTCTCCTCATATATGACCAACCATCAGTATTGTCATCTCTCCTCATATATGACCAACCATCAGTACTGTCATCACTCCTCATATATGACCAACTGTCAGTACTGTCATGTCTCCTCATTTATGACCAACCATCAGTATTGTCATCTCTCCTCATATATGACCAACCATCAGTATTGTCATCTCTCCTCATATATGACCAACCATCAGTACTGTCGTCTCTCCTCATATATGACCAACCATCAATAATGTCATCTCTCCTCATATATGACCAACCATCAGTACTGTCATCACTCCTCATATATGACCAACTGTCATCTCTCCTCATATATGACCAACCATCAGTACTGTCATCTCTCCTCATATATGACCAACCATCAATAATGTCATCTCTCCTCATATATGACCAACCATCAGTACTGTCATCTCTCCTCATATATGACCAACCATCAGTACTGTCATCTCTCCTCATATATGACCAACCATCAGTACTGTCATCTCTCCTCATATATGACAAACCATCAGTACTGTCATCTCTCCTCATATATGACCAACCATCAGTACTGTCATGTCTCCTCATTTATGACCAACCATCAGTACTGTCATCTCTCCTCATATATGACCAACTGTCAGTACTGTCATCTCTCCTCATATATGACCGACCATCAGTACTGTCATCTCCTATGAACAATATTACCCCAAAAAACTGTTTTCTTGTTTCTTGAAGGCTGCCTCATTACTGTTGGCTAAGATGGCACTCAGCACCCACCGAGTATGTGTACCTGGCAACGAAAACCGTTTATGTCCGGGAAAGAAACCCTTATGCCCTGGTGGCTGCAAGCCAGGATTTTGTTTAAATTCTCAGTGTGTGTGCAACACCCGGCCAGAAATGTTTCATTGCAATCCACAAGTTGAGAGAGAAGCAGAATTTCATCGGCAACGCATCGAGTCTGCAGTCAAACAGCAGAAAAATTTGGACAGGCAGGCCTTCTTGGCAAGTGAAAGAAAGAGTATGGGGATGAGAGAACCTGATGAGGAAGCAAAGAAGTTGCCAACCTGGTATAAAACTGAGGAAACACACAGTGGCCAGACTTCTGCTGCGGCTCAACCTCTGGAAGATTTCAGTTATCTAAAGGTATTTAATCATCAATAATTTGTTGTTTTTCTATCTGTAGACATAAATATACCTTATTTGTTTCTGGTTTACACTAACAGAACTACATGATGCTGATGAATATGTTGAAAGGGGAATCTAAGCACCTGTGATGTGTCCGAAGTGCTGTGAAGATCATCCAGCTCACAACTCATGTGTGGGGGAGTGGGAAAATGAATATTGCACACAAATTATCTGCTTGAAAATACAATACTTAATCAAATGAGAGGTCGGTTACAAAGACAGACACACACGCACGCATACGCGCATGCACACACACACCCATCATCACCAGCACACAGACATATGTATGAGGAGAGCAGCAGAATGTAAATATCACATAGATGTTCATGTTTGAGTTTGTACTTGGAACTGAATGAAGACAGACAACTGTCACTGTTTGAGTCTGTACTTGGAACTGAATGAAGACAGACAACTGTCACTGTTTGAGTCTGTACTTGCAACTGAATGAAGACAGACAACTGTCACTGTTTGAGTCTGTACTTGCAACTGAATGAAGACAGACAACTGTCACTGTTTGAGTCTGTACTTGGAACTGAATGAAGACAGACAACTGTCACTGTTTGAGTCTGTACTTGCAACTGAATGAAGACAGACAACTGTCACTGTTTGAGTCTGTACTTGGAACTGAATGAAGACAGACAACTGTCACTGTTTGAGTCTGTACTTGGAACTGAATGAAGACAGACAACTGTCACCAGATGAGAGAATGCCAGAGAACCATGAGAGCACCTGCCCGTCCATCCTGCATGCTGACTGCCACCGAGATCCATCCTGCGTATGATGATCTGTCCCAGCTGTCACTGTTCTTGAGGACGTCCACCATGCCAGGCTATGGGCCAGGCGGCGTCGTCAGCGAGTACCAAGACACTTACAACATGGCGGTGTGGGATGGCAAGAGGGACCTGGACAGACAGCTGTACAAACTTAAACACGACTGGCTAAGTAAGTGATTCTGAGACCTGAGTTGCCTGTGCCATAGAACTTGTCACATGATTTTTGTATGACCATAGTTGTTTTTGTATGACTATGTTTGTTATTGTCTGACTACATTTGCTGTTGTTGTTGTCTGACTATAGTTCTTTTTATTATGACTTTAGTTGGCGTATGACTTTATTTCTTGTTTTTTATGACCATAGCTGCTATTGTATAACTAGTTGTTTTTGTTATGATTTTAGTGTTGGTGTATGACAATAAGCTGTTGTTGTATGACCATAGTTGTTGTATGACTATAACTTGTTACTTGACCATAGTAGTTACATAACTATAGCTGTTGTTACACAGCAAAAGTTGTTGCATGGTCACAGTTGTTATCACTAAAGTTATTTTTTAGGTTTTATAATTGTAAGGTTGTTGAAAGACACTAGTTTTTCTTATACATTTAGGTGTTCTAATGTATCCTTCATGGTGACTCTCTCTCTCTCTCTCTCTCTCTCTCTCTCTCTCTCTCTCTCTCTCTCTCTCTCTCTCTCTCTCTCTCTCTCCTCTCTCTCTCTCTCTCTCTCTCTCTCTCTCTCTCTCTCTCTCTCTCTCTCCCTCTCTGTTTCTGTCTGTTATGATCTCTGTCAGTTTGTAATAAAATGTGCTGTCTACACTGGGAGGTTGCATGATGACATGTTTGTATGTGAATGTCTACACTGGGAGGTTGCATGATAACATGTTTGTATGTGAATGTCTACACTGGGAGGTTGCATGATAACATGTTTGTATGTGAATGTCTACACTGGGAGGTTGCATGATAACATGTTTGTATGTGAATGTCTACACTGGGAGGTTGCATGATATAACATGTTTGTCTATGTGAATGTCTACATGTTTGTATGTGAATGTCTGGAGGTTGCACGATGACATGTTTTGTATGTGAATGTCTACACTGGGAGTTGCATGATGACATGTTTGTATGTGAATGTCTACACTGGGAGGTTGCACGATGACATGTTTGTATGTGAATGTCTACACTGGGAGGTTGCATGATGACATGTTTGTATGTGAATGTCTACACTGTGAGGTTGTCTGTTTTGTATGTGAATGTCTACACTGGGAGGTTGCATGATAACATGTTTGTATGTGAATGTCTACACTGGGAGGTTGCATGATAACATGTTTGTATGTGAATGTCTACACTGGGAGGTTGCATGATGACATGTTTGTATGTGAATGTCTACACTGGGAGGTTGCATGATGACATGTTTGTATGTGAATGTCTACACTGGGAGGTTGCACGATGACATGTTTGTATGTGAATGTCTACACTGGGAGGTTGCATGATGACATGTTTGTATGTGAATGTCTACACTGCGAGGTTGCACGATGACATGTTTGTATGTGAATGTCTACACTGGGAGGTTGCATGATGACATGTTTGTATGTGAATGTCTACACTGGGAGGTTGCACGATGACATGTTTGTATGTGAATGTCTACACTGGGAGGTTGCATGATAACATGTTTGTATGTGAATGTCTACACTGGGAGGTTGCATGATAACATGTGAATGTCTACACTGGGAGGTTGTATGTGAATGTCTACACTGGGAGGTTGCATGATGACATGTTTGTATGTGAATGTCTACACTGGGAGGTTGCATGATAACATGTTTGTATGTGAATGTCTACACTGGGAGGTTGCATGATAACATGTTTGTATGTGAATGTCTACACTGGGAGGTTGCACGATGACATGTTTGTATGTGAATGTCTACATTGGGAGGTTGCACGATGACATGTTTGTATGTGAATGTCTACACTGCGAGGTTGCACGATGACATGTTTGTATGTGAATGTCTACACTGGGAGGTTGCATGATGACATGTTTGTATGTGAATGTCTACACTGGGAGGTTGCACGATGACATGTTTGTATGTGAATGTCTACACTGGGAGGTTGCATGATAACATGTTTGTATGTGAATGTCTACACTGCGAGGTTGCACGATGACATGTTTGTATGTGAATGTCTACACTGGGAGGTTGCATGATAACATGTTTGTATGTGAATGTCTACACTAGGAGGTTGCACGATGACATGTTTGTATGTGAATGTCTACACTGGGAGGTTGCATGATAACATGTTTGTATGTGAATGTCTACACTGCGAGGTTGCACGATGACATGTTTGTATGTGAATGTCTACACTGGGAGGTTGCATGATAACATGTTTGTATGTGAATGTCTACACTAGGAGGTTGCACGATGACATGTTTGTATGTGAATGTCTACACTGGGAGGTTACATGATGACATGTTTGTATGTGAATGTCTACACTGGGAGGTTACATGATGACATGTTTGTATGTGAATGTCTGCACTGGGAGGTTACACGATGACATGTTTGTATGTGAATGTCTACACTGGGAGGTTGCACGATGACATGTTTGTATGTGAATGTCTACACTGGGAGGTTGCATGATAACATGTTTGTATGTGAATGTCTACAGGTATCTGGGGAGAGCAGAATGTCAAAGATCAGCGATGGAGAAAAGGCTGGCTGGAAAAAGATGCCTTAAAGAAATAATTTTTTTTTACTAACCAATAAGCATGGAAATAACTTGTCTTCTTTCTAAACCCAGCTAAAGTATAAATGGCACTTAAAATGTTTGTATTTTCAGATAAAAATGTCTGCCATTGCTGAATATATTTGGGATAAGTCTTACTAAAAAAGGCTAATGTTTAAAGAGAATATGGCCCATAGCCTGTAAAAATTGAAGAGATATTATTAGTTTATGCCAGATGGACAAACAGGCAACCAGAGAAACTGTCACTAACATTATATGAAGATAAAACAGTTGTATACATCAGTGTAACAATGATATTGTCACCTGCTGCTGTCAGTATAGATGTCATCAAGCTTTTGTGAACATTGAATTCAGAACATTGCATCTACTAAATGAGACATCTAGAATATTACATGGACACATTTTAATCATCATGAAACAATGAAAAAATTTTCAGTTGTCAATAAAGATTTATTACATCTATGTCCACCATTGATGGTCAACTATATCAGTATTCACACATTTCTGACTACAACCAAATCAGTATTCACACATTTCTATCTTCAGTCGTATCAGTATTGACACATTTCTGACCAAAACAATATAAGTATAGACAATTTTATGTCTTCAGCCAAATAAGAATTCACATGTTTTTGTTTTCAGCGGGATCAGTATTCACATGTGTCTGATTTCAGCCATATCAGAATTCACATTTTAGTCTTCAGCCATATCAGTATTCACATGTCTCTGACTATAACCATATGAGTATTGACATGTTTTTTCTGCTGTATGAGTATTCACATGTCTCTGACTTCAGCCATATCAGTATCATATGTTTCTGCCTTCAGCCATATCAGTATTCACATGTCTCTGACTTCAGCCATATCAGTATCACATGTTTCTGACTTCATCAGGTCAACCATTATGTAACATAAAATGTGTTAATAATAATAACAGTGCTACATAAATGTTATTTCCCTATAGAAAGCTGACTGAAGTACTTATAGTTTCCATTCCATTCATAACTGTTGTTCCCCTATAGAAAGCTGACTGAAGTACTTATAGTTTCCATTCCATTCATAACTGTTGTTCCCCTATAGAAAGCTGACTGAAGTACTTATAGTTTTCATTCATAACTGTTGTAAATGATGTTTATTGTTGCAGCTTGAACTTTGTTCTGACATGTTGAATATGTTATTAATCTGTTACTTGTTCTTACTGAAATAAAACATTTTTTAAGAACAGCATTTGTTTAATTGTGCTTATTAACATTTGGCTGTGAAGCCTGGACAATAAATAAACAAGCTGAACACTATCTTGAGGCCTCAGAGATGTGGTTTTTATAGAAGAATGTTTAGAATTCCTTGGACAGCAAAGAAGAGCAAACCAGATGTTTTGAAAGAGGAGAGTGCTGGAGGTTTGAAACGTGACTTGTCGTGAGTCCCCCAGTGGGTAGATAACTTTGTGATGAATAGAATTCTACTCTCAGCACTTCACTTCCAACAGAGAAACTGGACTAATATCCGAGCTATGTGGATCTGAGACACAGTCCTGGATATCCAAGAAAACAGCCATATTTGGCTTGTTATGTAAATTAACAACAGCTGCATTTGGTACCTACAGGAGAAGGAAAGGGATTTTAGGTGTCTAGATTATTATTTGAATTATTAAATAGGGCAGGTGACCCCTCCCGACTACCTCCTCTTGGTAAAGAATTATCAATGAGCTCCCACCAAATATACAATCATACCTGGGAACATTTCAGCAATTTGCCAAAAAAGACTCACACAGATAGAATCATTTTCTACTGTTGATCTGAGTTTGTGGCATTCTGGCAGCCCTATGAAGTGAATTTAAGATGCTTAGTGGTATAATATATACCATTATCCATTTGCCAAGTTAACTACTCTCCTTTTCTAGTATCTAACCTGTCCTACAGGAGAGGTTTTAGCCACCCCCCTGAGATACCTTGCAGATCCAATTATCTTTCACTATGGTTGACAATCAATTTTGCTGACTAAACTTTCTTAAGTGGGAAAATCTAATAACAGCCAGCGTCACTGACAGGTGTGAAAAGCCGGTCACTGGGAGCCATCATGTCTGGAAATTCCTACTTGACCCAATTAACTCCCCCGGTCTGGCCTGTTATGTAACTTTTATGACACCTCTGGTCTGCTTTCCCCAGGTAGAGAGATTAGCTAGAATAGGTCATGTTATGTAATAAACAAAGCCTGGCTGCTTTGTCTGGGCTAAGGACTGGAAACAATTTTAAATCCCGCATGGTTTAAGCGATATTAGGGCTTAGTGCATAGTCAATATAATTCTTTGTCTCTCTATGAACATAAGAAATTTTTAAACATAATAACTTCTGAAAACCCTGAGGTAATTTCATCAAATGACTACAGGCTTGCATCACGAGCAGGTAACTCCGATTTATGTTTTAATTGGTTATTTCCACTTGTATTAAACATGTAATTAAGTAACTGAAAACTGTATTTTCATGACACTTCCCACAAGTAGTGAAATGAACAGTTTTCTCAAGATAGGCTTTGTATCAATGGTTCAAGAATAGAAACATCCCAGAGTGTTTATCATCTTTGCCACAACAGTAACAAACTAGGGCCTACTCATATTTTATTTTGTCAATGACTTGTTGCTTGTTGAAAGTGTCGGCCTGCCATGTTTGCTAGTCGACTCCATGGCCCATATCAGAGTGGTTTGTCTCTGCTGACACTGTTTGTTAAGACTCAGGCTGTTATATCTTGTCAATGAGTTGTTGCTTGTTGAAAGTGTCGGCCTGCCATGTTTGCTGGTCGACTCCATGGCCCATATCAGAGTGGTTTGTCTCTGCTGACACTGTTTGTTGAGACTCAGGCTGTTTTAGCTGTTACCTAACAGGTGCTTACACACATGGCTTCAATATCTCATATCTTCATATATGTCCATACGTTTGTGTCTTTGGGCACATGCATGAATGTTTGTGTATGTGTCCGTGCACAAGTGTGTTTTTTCTCTAGGTATATTGAAAAAAACAAAACAAAAAAAAAACCCACTCAATTGATATGTTTTAAATATTTATACGGTGTATTCAATTTCTTTACTCTGGTCAAAACTAAGTTAAACCTGAATCATCTCAACTAAAGATTGAAAATACTCATGATATAATATACAAATGTGTAATGTTTTTTTTTTTTAATTGAAAGAAGCTAAACTCTGAAAATATTGAAGTAATATACATTTGCATATGTTTATTTAATTTCATGAAAAAGTGAAACAAAAATTGCCGATTTCTTTTGTTGTGGCTATCTGGGGATGCCAGAGAGCAAAAACTATTGACAGAAAGTCCTGAAACTTCTATTGTGTTAGACAAATGTAGCAATGAAAATTTTGTACTGAAAGTTTTTGCAGCTCATTTTGAGAAATCCTCGTAGCATTTTTCATGTACATCCTGTGGGATTTGGCATTCACATCAATTTCTCTTATATCATTGAGTTTCAGTATATTTGTTTTTGAATAAAATTGCTGAGAACACCTTTAACACTGATTTTTATTGAATTTCTTAGTTTGTGAAGTCTAACGGTTTTTGCTTGAAATTCCAAATTATGTTTGCTGACATGAGATTTTGTAGATGCTCTTAAATATACCACATAGTTGCTGCTCTCCAACACAGCAGATGCAAAGAAAAAACACTAGAGTGGGCTCCTGTTCCAACATTCTCTTCACTTTATAACTTGCTCAAGAAAAAGTCATCTGTTCCAATAATGTGCAGAATTGAGCGAGGATTGGTATTTGCAAATAGTCTGAAATTATATATTTTAATGTAAACACTTGGGACTATTGCTGGAATATGAGAAAATATTTCTGGCTTAAGCTTCCAAACAATGGGGCAGTTTTTTTGCAGGACAAAGTTAAAAATTAATGATGCAATGTTTCTAAAAGGTAACAAAATATCGGACATGGTACCAAAAGTACAGTTCTGTTTGGCAAGGGTCAAACAGTGCAACATGTGTATGAAAGTACCAACTTCAGCAGCCCTGTGAGAGAACAGTCTGAACTGAGTCACACTGGAGCAAGTTTGTTCTGTGGAAATGTCAGTTCTGTTGGATCCATCTGTGTTGATTAGAGCTTCGTGTATTTCCACACCTTGTGGATTTTTTGTCAAACTAAAACAGTTCTACTTTTCAAAAACAAAACATTGAAAAAAATAATGTTTACAGCAACAATAAGACCTGTAGAAGAACGCAGTTTCTGTACAATTTATTTCTTGAGTGTGAACCAACTCTGTGGTGATATGCCAGTCAGTCAGTTATTTGTTGTGGGTTGTATGTATGAAGTTAATCATTACTACTGTGAATAATAAACATAAAACATGGACACCTGAAACACGCAGGTTCCATGTCAACAGTAGCTGGTAGATGTATTCATGAATTTACATAAACAAAATAGCTCAAGAAAAAGCAGCATTTTACAAATAGTAAAATATTCTATCTTCTTTTTAAAGTTCATGCAGTGTGGCTTTGGTAGTCATGTCTCCACAACCTTCTGTTTCGTGTACTTTTAATCAGCTCTGAAACTGATGATCTTTCATGCCACAATGCCAAACTGTCCAGCATCTTTTATCTCGGTCTGCCCAGACCTCTCTTCCTGTCCAACTTTCCTATTGTCACGATGTACTCCAGTTTTCTCCTTCTCATGACACGACTGAAAAATGTAGATTGTCGCCGTCTGATTGGGAAATCAGTTCTCTTTGTGAGCCAGTTTCTTTCAAGATATCTTCATTGCTCTTTTTGTTTGTCCAGGGTATTCACATCACTGGTCTATAAAACAACATCTCCGCAGTGTCCAAATATTTTGTTAATTAATTGACCAACTGTCAATGATTCATTTCCATCAATCATAATATAGGGTTTATCCAGCTTTTAAGAATTCTCTTTCTCATCTCAGCTGACAAAGAAAGATAGCATAGAACATTTTTTGATTTGGTAAAATGCAGCCTTTTCTTCAACTGTTTTACATTTAATTATTTAAACATATCTTTCGTCTGATGTTATCAGGGAACCACCCAAATACTTCATCCTTCTGGAGGATTGTCCCTGTTACTTTGATGTTGCATTTTTGAGGATTTATTATTCTATACCAGGTATTTTTGTCAGCTGTGAGGCAAAAACAATTCTTCAGAGTAACACATGGAATTGTGTATATTGTATGGAAGTGAACCCAGGAAGTTAGTTGAGTAATGACAAACTTGTTTGGAAAATGTAGAGGTGTCATGTAGAAGATAAATGATGAGAATTAAACAGTGAGACAAAGCACTTATGCCTGTTAATAATTTTGGTTTGGCTGCACTTGCCGAATTAATCTGGCAGGTTCATAAAGGTTATAAAAGGTCTTGTGCAGCACAAAAATGTTCTTGGCTCTGGTTTTCTGCTGGTTGGGTTGTGAGATGAGAAATTTATAATTCCCTTTTTACCGTTGCCAAACCGCTCAGGGCTTCTTAATGCAATGTGGGAGTCAGGGGACTGAGTGGAGATATATGGATTGTTTTACTGATTGCGTGGTTTGGTGTTTCAATAGTTAGATGATGTTAATGTAAATTTAATTCAGTAGTTAAACTGCATTAGATCTAAATATTTGAGTGTATCATCGCTCAGTTAGCTTAACTCTTCGAGTCCCAGGGAGTTTAACATCACAGGCCCAATGACTAGTAAAAAGAGAGTAAAATCGACGCATCATGTGTGCACTGGGCTTCTATATAGGAAACTGAATGTATGATGCGTTCCCTTGGACTCAAAGAGTTAAGTACTTAGCACATGGTCTGTGTGAGCACAATGTTGATTGTATTTGTACTGTTATCTGTGAAGCACGTTAGTTTTGTGTTCAGGAAAATAGACGGATGTTAAATGTGATGGTTATATTCATTTGTTTGTTTCAAGATAGAACTTGTAGTTCATCCATGTGGTCTAATCAGGCTTTGAATATGTAGTCATATATTATTGTGTAACTCATTATACACATATTCAGTGCCTGGGCTATGAGCAAAATTCATGGTCCCCGCACAGAAGAACCCTTGTCTTTTCTTCCCTTCTCCTTTTTTTCAGTTCTGTGGGGACCTACTTGTTATCCTAACCACATTTCGTTCCTCCTCTGTCTACTTGTTTTTCTTTTTCCTCTTCCCGCTAGCTCAAGAACATCAAGAGTAGATAATAACCTAATGAAGAAGTCTAAAATTAATATAGAGAGCTGATTACCGGCATCTGAAGGAGACAGTCTACATTTCGTTGATGACTTCATAAGAAAAAAAAAGGAGGGGGGGGGGGGGGGGGAACTGGAATACATAGTTGAAAACCGAAAAGTTGGAGGGGGGAAGAGGGTAAGAGGCAGCCCAAGAGGAAAATGCTGGACACTGAGTTAAGTTGAGTCAAGAATTGACATCACAGCACTCGGGGCATTCCTATGCATGCTCCATCCTCATCTTCAGCAGCCAGCGCAGAGTTCCAATACTGATGGTGCCGGTCACAATCTGGTTAAATGTCGGTCTTGCCTTTCCTCTGAGTGTAGTGAGCTGGCTAGACCCTCTGGTTACACCCAGGTGCCTCATTCTCTCCAGGCTATAATAATCTTCTTTCTCTACTGATTCCGTTGCTTGTTCCCAAAGGGCCTTGACCACATCTGCCTTATCATGTATCAATTCACCACCAAGTGGTGTGGATCCAGCAACTTTTTCTGTCTGTTCATCACCCACCATGCCGGCATGGCCTGGAGAAAAGATCCAGCTAGTCTGTCTGCCTGTTCATTACTCACCACACCGGCATGGCCTGGAGAAAAGATCCAGCTAGTCTGTCTGCCTGTTCATTACTCACCACACCGGCATGGCCTGGAGAAAAGATCCAGCTAATCTGTCTGCCTGTTTATTACTCACCACACCGGCATGGCCTGGAGAAAAGATTCAGAGCATTCTCACCACCTGTGACCTTTCCAGTGAAGCTTGCCACTCTGCTCGAAGCATCCCTGTCTTCACCTTTTCAGCATGGTTTCAGAGTATGTTACAATTATGACATGTGTATGCATCTTGCTCTCTAGCCACCGGAGAGCTGCAGTTACCGCCTCCACCTCCATTCTCATGCTAGATGTTGTGGTGTCATATGCTAGGCTGTCTTGCACTAAAGATTTTCCATTGGCTTTCGCTACGAACACACAGAAACTTCTTTCTTCTCAACACCGAACCATCTGTATAGATAATCAGATCAAAGGAGCGTGAATTGTCGGGAATCTACAGTTGGACTTCAACCTCCGTAGCACCCGCTGGCCACTTTCTTCACACCCGGCCCAATGTGATCATAACCCTACACAGGTCAGACTTTTGTGCTGGTATGCTGGGCAAAAGTCATTGTATGGAGGGTCATCTACGTGGGAAATCATTGAAAGTACATGGGAAAGAAGGTTGTGGACGTACATGACTAACAACGCCACATGGCACGGAGTGTCAGAAGATCAACATTCAACACCGCCAGTGTGGCTTCTACAGACGTTCACTTTCCTTTGGAACTAATTCATCACACACGCTGACTCCTCTTCAGTTTATGATGGCTTCTCTTCATTTGTGATGGCTTCTCTTCATTTGTGATGGCTTCTCTTCATTTGTGATGGCTTCTCTTCATTAATGATGGCTTCTCTTCATATTGAGGATTCAACCACTACATGTGCTGACCTATTTTCTATATGCGATGACAGCTCCTCTATATGTGATAACGTCCCCTCTATATGTTATAACGTCCCCTGTATATGTTATGACATCCCCTCTATATGTTATGACGTCCCCTCTTTATGTGATGACGTCTCCTCTATATGTGATGACGGCTCCTCTATATGTTATGACGGCTCCTCTATATGTGATAACGTCCCCTCTATATGTTATGAAGTCTCTCAATATGTGATGACGTCTCCTCTATATTTGATGACGTCTCCTCTATATTTGATGACGTCTCCTCTATATGATATGACGTCCCCTCTATATGTTATGACGTCCCCTCTAAATGTGATGACGTCCCCTCTATATGTGCTGAAACCCCCATACAGGTGATGACTCCTTCTCTGTAAGTGGCAGCTTCAGACATTGGCAGGTTTCTGGCTGACAGAAAACTCAGACATTCTCTCTGGAACTAAAGTCTGTTTTCGCGACTCCGCAACATTGGTCCCCGGTTGTGGGCTTGCAGGAATGGAGTGTTTGGCCAGGAGTTGGCAGCAGTTGCGCTGACTGACTGGAGCAGGGTTCGAATCCTTCCTCACTAAGTGCAGCTGTCGTTGACATCTGCTGTATGCTTGCTGGTCAAACTTGTATTTGTTGTCACTGGCCATTTGTCGTTCTGTAGAGACACGAGAACACTCACGAGTCACATGTGAGACAATTATTTCAGTCAGCGTTACAGGTGAGGCAACATTACAGGTGATGCAACATTTCAGGTGAGACAATTTTAGGTGAGACAGATGAGACAATGTTGCAGGGGAGACAACATTACAGATGAGACAATGTTGCAGGGGAAAAAACATTACAGATGAGACAGTGTTGCAGGGAAGACAACATTACAGATGAGACAATGTTGCAGGGGAGAAAACATTACAGATGAGACAGTGTTACAGGGGAGAAAACATTACAGACGAGGCAGTGTTGCAGGGGAGACAACATTACAGATGAGACAGTGTTGCAGGGGAGACAACATTACAGATGAGAATGTGTTGCAGGGGAGAAAACATTACAGATGAGACAATGTTGCAGGGGAGAAAACATTACAGATGAGACAGTGTTGCAGGGGAGACAACATTTCAGATGAGACAGTGTTGCAGGGGAGACAACATTACAGATGAGACAGTGTTGCAGGTGAGACAACATTACAGTTGAGCCAGTGTTGCAGGGAAGACAACATTACAGATGAGGCAGTGTTGCAGGGGAGACAACATTACAGATGAGATAGTGTTGCAGGGGAGACAACATTACAGATGAGAATGTGTTGCAGGGGAGAAAACAATTCAGATGAGACAATGTTGCAGGGGAGAAAACATTACAGATGAGACAGTGTTGCAGGGGAGACAACATTTCAGATGAGACAGTGTTGCAGGGGAGACAACATTACAGATGAGACAGTGTTGCAGGGGAGACAACATTACAGTTGAGGCAGTGTTGCAGGGAAGACAACATTACAGATGAGAATGTGTTGCAGGTGAGACAACATTACAGATGAGACAGTGTTGCAGGGGAGACAACATTACAGATGAGAATGTGTTGCAGGTGAAACAACATTACAGACGTGACAGTGTTGCAGGGGAGACAACATTACAGATGAGACAGTGTTGCAGGGGAGACAACATTACAGATGAGACAGTGTTGCAGGGGAGACAACAGCTATTAAAGTAGCAGGACTGAACCGACCAGCTATTGAATGATAGTAGCAGGACTGAACCGACCAGCTATTGAAGTAGCAGGACTGAACCGACCAGCTATTGAATGATAGCAGCAGGACTGAACCGACCAGCAATTGAAGTAGCAGGACTCTGTTATTTGCTGATGACATTTTGGTTTATCGTTATGGAAGAAAGCGTCATGGGATGACCAATCGGCACAGCCAGGCATGAGAAGCACACCTAACGCAGGAGAAGTCTTGTCAAACAACACTGGACTGGAACCATCAACCTCAGGACGCTGACGTATATGTTGCAGGGGAAATTGAGCACCTATAGACGTGTCCGGAGTGACATGAAGGTGAGACAGTGTAACAGGAGAGTTGGTGTTTAGATGTCAGGGGCCGAGGGAAGGCTGGCAAGGTCGGAGCACGTGTTTTCAACTTGCATGACAGACGTGCTCACTTGTACGTCTCATATTCGCCTCTGACTCCCTGAGCTCGATAAGAACATTACAGATAAGACAGTATTACAGGTAAGACAGTGTTACAGATAAACAATGTTACAGGGGAGACAACATTAAAGTGTGACATTGTTACAGGGGAGACAACATTACAGGTGTGACAGTGTTAAAGTGTGACAGTGTTACTGGAGAAACTGTGTTACAGGTAAGACAGTGTTAGAGGGGAGACAATGTTACAGGGAAGACAATGTTACAGTTAAGATAGTGTTACAGGTGAGGCAGTGTTACAGGTGAGACAGTGTTGCAGGTGAAATAGTGTTGCAGGCTAGACAGTGTTACAGGGGAGAATGTGTTACATATAAGACAGTGTTATAGGGAAGACAACATTGAAGGGGAGACAGTGTTAAAGGTTAGACAGTGTTACATGTAAGACAGTGTTACACGTAAGACAGTGTTACAGGGAAGACAGTGTTTCAGGTAAAACAGTGTTACAGGCTAGACAATTTTACAAGGGAAATGTGTTACAGGTAAGACAGTGTTACATGTGATACAGTGTTACAGGTAAGACAGTGTTACAGGTAAGACAGTGTTACAGGTAAGACAGTGTTACAGGTAAGACAGTGTTACAGGGAAGACAACATTGAAGGGGAGATAGTGTTATAGGTGTGAAAGTCTTACAGGTGAGATAGTATTACAAGGGAGATAGTATTACAAGGGAGACAACGGTAATGTGAGACAGTGTTACAGGTAAGACAGTGTTACAGGTAAGACAGTGTTACAGGTAAGACAGTGTTACAGGTAAGACAGTGTTACAGGGGAGACAGTGTTACAGTTAAGACAGTTTTACAGGTGAGACTGTGTTGCAGGAAAAACAGTGTTACAGGCAATTTTACAGGGGATAATGTGTGACAGGTAAGACAGTGTTACAGGTGAGACAGTGTTACAGGTAAGACAGTGTTACAGGTAAACAGTGTTACAGGTAAGACGGTGTTACAGGTAAGACGGTGTTACAGGTAAGACAGTGTTACAGGTAAGACAGTGTTACAGGTAAGACATTGTTACAAGGGAGATATTATCACATGTGAAGCAACATTACAGGCGAGACAGTTGTAAGCGCGTGGGATTTAAATTTACGTGGGGAAGGGGGGAATAGAGAAGGAAGGTGATATCAAAGTAAAAAGAGCAGACGAGAAGAATAAAAGTTACTGGATGTATGAGAAGATGAAAGGTTCTCCCATGTACACAAAACTCCGTCCCAGTATAGGACCCAATTGTGTTGTTCTTTTAAAGCCTCCACCTGGCTGTTGTTGCGGCCCTAATATAACCTACAAGATCTCTGGGATCTGTCCCCCGGGTGATCCTTATCTGAATGGTGGCATTTCGTGTCGCCAGGTATTTATCGCCTGATGTGATGTCCTAGTGGTGTTGAACGTCAGCAGTTATCCTTTGTGGAGAGTGTAATAGTAAATATCCCCCAGACGATCAGGTGATATTTATGGAGGTATAAAAGAGAGTAGTAAAACAACTACAGCAACTAAATAGCAATACTACTCTCCTATGCTCAACAAACTAACGATGGAATAACAGAATGACATCTAACAACCATTTGCAATGTACAATATTTATAGTCTATCGACATCTCTGGTGTGTACACAACGTATACAACATTTATAGCCTATCGAAATCTTTGGGCTGTACACAAAGTATAAAACATTTATAGTCTATCTACTCCTCTAAGATCTACAGTGTATCAGATATTTATAGTCTATCTACATCATTAAGCTCTACTCAGTGTGTTCAATATTTATTGTCTATCTACATCACTAAGATCTACAGAATCTGTGTAAAATTTATAATTTTCCCATTTGGACGTTGACCCTTGTGCCCTGCCTTTGCGTCAGACATTTAACGCAAACACTGAGCGTCTTCAGGACCAAACATGGGGTTTGCCACAACAACTTACTGAACCAGTTGCTGTCATGAACTCTGCTCTCATTCGGCAGGCCAGCAGCAGAGGCAACATAGTGAGGATCGTGGTATCTCCAGTAGGCATCCACTTTGTGACTGCAGCGTTTCGCTCTTTCCATTTCCACGTCTGGCAATGCTGCTGGTGAAGAAACGTCTTGTTCGCACATTCTGGGTGCTGAAAATGGAAACAGAATTGCTCGGTGTAATGTCTACCGATTTCGTTGTTTTCTTAACGCTGGCCAGTTTTGCTAGTCACACTCGCCATCGCCATGGACTGTCAGTCCCATGTTCCCAGACAGCACCATTTACCACAATCATTTGAACAGACTTAGCAACAACAACAGAGAAGAAACAACAACAGACCTTTAGATTCAACACAATGCCAGATTTCTGACAGACTTAGCAACAACAACAGACCTTTAGATCCAACACAATGCCAGATTTCTAACAGACTTAGCAACAACAACAGACCTTTAGATTCAACACAATGCCAGATTTCTAACAGACTTAGCAACAACAACAGACCTTTAGATTCAACACAATGCCAGATTTCTAACAGACTTAGCAATAACAACAGACCTTTAGATTCAACACAATGCCAGATTTCTAACAGACTTAGCAACAACAACAGACTTGTAGATTCAACACAATGCCAAATTTCTGTCAGACTTATATTGAAGAATATTCCAGACAATTCTGTTGCCACGCCATCTCTGAACATTTGCAGCTTACCACACAAGCTGATGTGTACCGTCTGACACTTCTACTGTTGAACATCCCACACAGACAACAACAAGCACAGTTTTACCGTTACAAGTACCATATAGAACTGGTCAGTGCATTTTGGGATATTTGCCTGTATCCTGTCACATAGATCCCAGACACAGGACGCATCAACACTTCTAATGTTAGCAACAAATACCAGACTCCCTACCCATCAACACTTCTAATATTACCAACAGACCACAGACTTATTGTTGGGTGCTGATTTGGGAGAGTGTAAAATTGTGTGAAGGGACAGAGTGGTTTAATAGTACTTTCCGGGAGTTCAAGAGCAACAGTGTCAACATTGGCCCGAGTAGTCAGGGGGAGAGAATGTTGACCAGTGAGAAGTGTAGTGTCACGAGAAAGTAGACGAGTGGGTTCACTGTGTGGGGGCTGACAATGAGGTTAACGAGGCACAGGAAAAAAGTATAAATTACTTGACAGCGGGATTCTCATGTAACATCAGCCACCCACATAAGCGTGATTCTCGAGAACGCCCACATGAGCGTGAGTCTCGAGAATGCCCACATGAGCGTGAGTCTCGAGAATACCCACATGAGCATGATTCCCGAGAACGCACACACGAGCGTGCCTCTCGTGTAACATTAGCCGCCCACATGGGTTCAGCAGGGATACATTGGGGCTGGGTAGACAGTCCGAGTCAGTGAGCTGTAGCCGGAGAGCTAAAGCATTGGGGAAGTGCGTGTGTAGTACACACCCAGCACGAGAAAGCTGCGAGTCAGTCGGAGTCCGAGAGAGAGAGAGAGAGAGAGAGAGAGAGAGAGAGAGAGAGAGAGAGAGAGAGAGAGAGAGAGAGAGAGAGAGAGAGAGAGAGAGACCAAGTCAGGGTCAGAGTCAGTATCTCTCGAGTGAGACAGAGTACGTGTAACTATCAAACATCAAGGTCTGACTAAGGGTTGTGGTACGAAACGGATCCAGCGTACCGTGCAACTATCAAACATCAAGGTTTGGGTAAGGGTTGTGGTACGAAACGGATCCAGCGTACCGTGCAACTATCAAACATCAAGGTTTGGGTAAGGGTTGTGGTTACGGTACGTGTCGAAGGTATAGTCCCGCTGGCGAAATAAGGCCAGGGGAACTAAATGCTCTAAAAGTGACTGTTCTGGGTGACGGCGCAAGGAGACGTAGGGTCACCATGGGAACAGAACAGTAGGGATACCGACAAGAGCAGTGTGCTAGAGGGGACTTGTGTTGGAAGTCCTGTCTGTCATCGGAGTCCTTCGACAGGCTGATGTGCTGTGTGCTGTGGAGAACGGGCAAGTGAAGTCCGTCTCCAGTCAGCCGTTGTTGTCTGCTGAAGTCATATCAAGGTCCAGTTGATAGGAGAGTTCTTACTGTTCTTCTGTACAGCGGCCCCAGAGTTATGGGAAGCTGTAGACCTACGGAGCTGTAGTGGACAGGGAGAGGACGCTACAGGTTGGGGGAGAGAGAGAGAGAGAGAGAGAGAGAGAGAGAGAGAGAGAGAGAGAGAGTGTGTGAGAGAGAGAGAGAGAGAGAGAGAGAGAGAGAGAGAGAGAGAGAGAGAGAGAGAGAGAGAGAGAGAGAGAGAGAGAGAGAGAGAGAAGACTGTATAGACTAGGTGCGAATGCCAATTAGGATCAATGTCTACATCTCGAAGTATGCAGTCTTGTTGATGTGAGGGCTTGTGTATACCCTCTTGTTTTGTGACCAATAAATATAATGCTTTATGATAGAACTACGGTCGTCGAGTCCTGCTTAGAGAGTCAGGGGAGCAAACGTTTGATCTTTAGACACTCGCTAGTGTGCTGATTAGTGTGTAACTCAGCTTGCATACACCACCCATCAACACTTGTAATATGACCAACAGACCCCAGACCCATCAACACTTGTAATATGACCAACAGACCCCAGACCCATCAACACTTGTAATATGACCAACAGACCCCAGACCCATCCACACTTGTAATATGACCAACAGACCCCAGACCCCAGACCCATCAACACTTGTAATATGACCAACAGACCCCAGACTCATCAACACTTGTAATATGACCAACAGACCCCAGACCCATCAACACTTGTAATATGACCAACAGACCCCAGACCCCAGACCCATCAACACTTGTAATATGACCAACAGACCCCAGACCCATCAACACTTGTAATATGACCAACAGACCCATCAACACTTGTAATATGACCAACAGACCCCAGACTCATCAACACTTGTAATATGACCAACAGACCCCAGACCCATCAACACTTGTAATATGACCAACAGACCCCAGACTCATCAACACTTGTAATATGACCAACAGACCCCAGACTCATCACCACTTGTAATATGACCAACAGACCCCAGACTCATCAACACTTGTAATATGACCAACAGACCCCAGACTCATCAACACTTGTAATATGACCAACAGACCCCAGACTCATCAACACTTGTAATATGACCAACAGACCCCAGACTCATCAACACTTGTAATATGACCAACAGACCCCAGACTCATCAACACTTGTAATATGACCAACAGACCCCAGACTCATCAACACTTGTAATATGACCAACAGACCCCAGACTCATCAACACTTGTAATATGACCAACAGACCCCAGACTCATCAACACTTGTAATATGACCAACAGACCCCAGACTCATCAACACTTGTAATATGACCAACAGACCCCAGACCCATCAACACTTGTAATATGACCAACAGACCCCAGACTCATCAACACTTGTAATATGACCAACAGACCCCAGACCCATCAACACTTGTAATATGACCAACAGACCCCAGACCCATCAACACTTGTAATATGACCAACAGACCCCAGACCCATCAACACTTGTAATATGACCAACAGACCCCAGACGCCAGACCCATCAACACTTGTAATATGACCAACAGACCCCAGACTCATCAACACTTGTAATATGACCAACAGACCCCAGACCCCAGACTCATCAACACTTCTAATATGACCAACAGACCCCAGACCCCAGACTCATCAATACTTGTAATATGACCAACAGACCCCAGACCCCAGACTCATCAACACTTGTAATATGACCAACAGACCCCAGACCCATCAACACTTGTAATATGACCAACAGACCCCAGATCCAAGACCCATCAACACTTCTAATATGACCAACAGACCCCAGACCCCAGACCCATCAACACTTCTAATATGACCAACAGACCCCAGACCCCAGACTCATCAACACTTCTAATATGACCAACAGACCCCAGACCCAAGACCCATTAAAGATCCTACCCACAGAGTTCCTGCAAGATGCTAGTTGAGACCAGCAAGATTTCTCCTTGTCCAGGACAAGCTTGTTGTCTGGGTGGTCGCAGATGTCGCAGAGGATTCTGTAGTTCCTGTAACAGTAAATGAATGTCCATTAGAAGATTCTGTAGTTCCTGTAACAGTAAATGCATGTCCATTAGAAGATTCTGTCCTTCCTGTAACAGTAAATGCATGTCCATTAGAGGATTCTATAGTTCCTGTAACAGTAAATGCATGTCCATTAGAGGATTCTGTAGTTCCTGTAACAGTAAATGCAACAGTATAGTATATGCATGTCCATTAGAGGATTCTGTAGTTCCTGTAAGTAAGTAAATGCATGTCCATTAGAGGATTCTATAGTTCCTGTAACAGTAAATGCATGTCCATTAGAAGATTCTGTAGTTCCTGTAACAGTAAATGCATGTCCATTAGAGGATTCTGTAGTTCCTGTAACAGTAAATGCATGTCCATTAGAGGATTCTATAGTTCCTGTAACAGTAAATGCATGTCCATTAGAGGATTCTGTAGTTCCTGTAACAGTATATGCATGTCCATTAGAGGATTCTGTAGTTCCTGTAACAGTAAATGCATGTCCATTAGAGGATTCTGTAGTTCCTGTAACAGTAAATGAATGCCCATTAGAAGATTCTGTCGTTCCTGTAACAGTAAATGCATGTCCATTAGAGGATTCTGTAGTTCTTGTAACAGTAAATGCATGTCCATCAGAGGATTCTGTAGTTCCTGTAACAGTAAATGAATGTCCATTAGAAGATTCTGTAGTTCCTGTAACAGTAAATGAATGTCCATTAGAGGATTCTGTAGTTCCTGTAACAGTAAATGAATGTCCATTAGAGGATTCTGTAGTTCCTGTAACAGTAAATGCATGTCCCTCAGATGTGTCCAGGACCGGTTTTAGACTTGATGGTGCCCTTAGCTAGATAACTCACCGAAATCCCTGTCGTTTTTAATGACACCAGCTAGTTTAAAAAAAAAAAAAACTTAAAACAAATACGCCCCTTACAAGTATGGATAGTGAAAATATACGTCATCTAATTAAAAAAAAATAATAATTAAAAAAAAATATTAATAAAAATAAAGAGTATGTTCATAAAATCACAGAAATTATATTGTATAGTCATCTAAAGGCTCTATGTCATCATTTAAAAAAACTTTTCTTTTCTTGATTGTCCCAAACTGAAGAATTATTGATTATATCATCAATAGGTATGCTACGTAACATGCCGTTCTCTATACACATGGTGCAACGCATACAAGTGTAACAGTACAGTCAATTAACAGACAACTGCATGTATAATTGTATTTGTGAAATTCTGAGGCCCTTGCAAACTGTGAGGCTCTAGGCTGTGGCTTAGTTAGCGTGTGCCTGAATCCAGCAATGGGTGTGTTCTGTCATTCTTCTGGGCTATTTGTCACCAGTATCCTGCTGTCGGGTCAGTAGAAGCGATACTACTGCCTGGGCCATGAGTAATATTGTTTTGGTCCCTGCACCAGAAGGACCCTGTCTTTCCTTCACTTATCCTGTTTGTACAGTTCATTTTAGATCTACTTATTGTCATAAATACATTTATTTTTCTCATTTCCTCCCTGTTCCCCCCCCCCACTCTTTTTGTCCCCGCTAGCTCAATATGAAGAGAAATGAGAAACACCTATAAAGTGTAGTATGGAAAGCCTATATACAAATTCAAACGATAATGGATGGAGACTGAAAAACACAGCAGTAGCGAAAGGACTACAGATAAGCAGCACCAGATTTCAAAGAAAAGTTGTTCATAAACAAACCTGGCAATCACGTGACAAAATAACTTATAATCAAGTAGATCATATTTTAATCAAATAATATAAATGCATCAAACATACAACAAGTTAGAAGCTACAGAGGGCTGAGTGTCATAGTGACCACTACCTGGCTGGTGGAGATTACAAAAGCTTTAAAGAGATCCTTCTACGCCAAATTGCAAAGATTGAATCCAGAGTATAAAAGAGAAAGATTACAAGAAACATCCATAAAAAATGTGCAGATAAATTAAAACGTAAAAGGGAATTTTTACAAAATATTTCAGACTGCAAACTAGATACATCAACATTAGCCAGAAGTTTGGTTGTCCACACATACACTAGAGACGTCAACATTGCCAAAAGAATGGTTGTCCACACATACACTAGAGACGTCAACATTAGCCAGAAGTATGGTTGTCCACACATACACTAGAGACGTCAACATTAGCCAGAAGTATGGTTGTCCACACATACACTAGAGACGTCAACATTAGCCAGAAGTATGGTTGTCCACACATACACTAGAGACGTCAACATTAGCCAGAAGTATGGTTGTCCACACATACACTAGAGACGTCAACATTAGCCAGAAGTATGGTTGTCCACACATACACTAGAGACGTCAACATTAGCCAGAAGTATGGTTGTCCACACATACACTAGAGACGTCAACATTAGCCAGAAGTATGGTTGTCCACACATACACTAGAGACGTCAACATTAGCCAGAAGTATGGTTGTCCACACATACACTAGAGACGTCAACATTAGCCAGAAGTATGGTTGTCCACACATACACTAGAGATGTCAACATTAGCCAGAAGTATGGTTGTCCACACATACACTAGAGACGTCAACATTAGCCAGAAGTATGGTTGTCCACACATACACTAGAGACGTCAACATTAGCCAGAAGTATGGTTGTCCACACATACACTAGAGATGTCAACATTAGCCAGAAGTATGGTTGTCCACACATACACTGGAGACATCAACATTAGCCAGAAGTATGGTTGTCCACACATACACTAGAGATGTCAACATTAGCCAGAAGTATGGTTGTCCACACACACACTAGAGATGTCAACATTAGCCAGAAGTATGGTTGTCCACACATACACTGGAGACATCAACATTAGCCAGAAGTATGGTTGTCCACACACACACTAGAGACATCAACATTAGCCAGAAGTATGGTTGTCCACACATACACTAGAGACATCAACATTAGCCAGAAGTATGGTTGTCCACACATACACTGGAGACGTCAACATTAGCCAGAAGTATGGTTGTCCACACACACACTAGAGATGTCAACATTAGCCAGAAGTATGGTTGTCCACACATACACTGGAGACATCAACATTAGCCAGAAGTATGGTTGTCCACACACACACTAGAGATGTCAACATTAGCCAGAAGTATGGTTGTCCACACATACACTGGAGACATCAACATTAGCCAGAAGTATGGTTGTCCACACATACACTAGAGACGTCAACATTAGCCAGAAGTATGGTTGTCCACACATACACTGGAGACATCAACATTAGCCAGAAGTATGGTTGTCCACACACACACTAGAGATGTCAACATTAGCCAGAAGTATGGTTGTCCACACACACACTAGAGATGTCAACATTAGCCAGAAGTATGGTTGTCCACACATACACTAGAGACGTCAACATTAGCCAGAAGTATGGTTGTCCACACATACACTGGAGATGTCAACATTAGCCAGAAGTATGGTTGTCCACACATACACTAGAGACATCAACATTAGCCAGAAGTATGGTTGTCCACACACACACTAGAGATGTCAACATTAGCCAGAAGTATGGTTGTCCACACATACACTAGAGACGTCAACATTAGCCAGAAGTATGGTTGTCCACACATACACTGGAGATGTCAACATTAGCCAGAAGTATGGTTGTCCACACATACACTAGAGACGTCAACATTAGCCAAAAGTATGGTTGTCCACACATACACTAGAGACGTCAACATTAGCCAGAAGTATGGTTGTCCACACATACACTGGAGATGTCAACATTAGCCAGAAGTATGGTTGTCCACACATACACTAGAGACGTCAACATTAGCCAGAAGTATGGTTGTCCACACATACACTGGAGATGTCAACATTAGCCAGAAGTATGGTTGTCCACACATACACTAGAGACATCAACATTAGCCAGAAGTATGGTTGTCCACACACACACTAGAGATGTCAACATTAGCCAGAAGTATGGTTGTCCACACATACACTAGAGACGTCAACATTAGCCAGAAGTATGGTTGTCCACACATACACTGGAGATGTCAACATTAGCCAGAAGTATGGTTGTCCACACATACACTAGAGACGTCAACATTAGCCAGAAGTATGGTTGTCCACACATACACTAGAGACGTCAACATTAGCCAGAAGTATGGTTGTCCACACATACACTGGAGATGTCAACATTAGCCAGAAGTATGGTTGTCCACACATACACTAGAGACGTCAACATTAGCCAGAAGTATGGTTGTCCACACATACACTAGAGATGTCAACATTAGCCAGAAGTATGGTTGTCCACACATACACTAGAGACGTCAACATTAGCCAGAAGTATGGTTGTCCACACACACACTAGAGATGTCAACATTAGCCAGAAGTATGGTTGTCCACACATACACTAGAGACGTCAACATTAGCCAGAAGTATGGTTGTCCACACACACACTAGAGACGTCAACATTAGCCAGAAGTATGGTTGTCCACACATACACTAGAGACGTCAACATTAGCCAGAAGTATGGTTGTCCACACACACACTAGAGATGTCAACATTAGCCAGAAGTATGGTTGTCCACACATACACTAGAGACGTCAACATTAGCCAGAAGTATGGTTGTCTACACACACACTAGAGACGTCAACATTAGCCAGAAGTATGGTTGTCCACACATACACTGGAGATGTCAACATTAGCCAGAAGTATGGTTGTCCACACATACACTAGAGACATCAACATTAGCCAGAAGTATGGTTGTCCACACACACACTAGAGATGTCAACATTAGCCAGAAGTATGGTTGTCCACACATACACTAGAGACATCAACATTAGCCAGAAGTATGGTTGTCCACACATACACTAGAGATGTCAACATTAGCCAGAAGTATGGTTGTCCACACATACACTAGAGATGTCAACATTAGCCAGAAGTATGGTTGTCCACACACACACTAGAGACGTCAACATTAGCCAGAAGTATGGTTGTCCACACATACACTAGAGATGTCAACATTAGCCAGAAGTATGGTTGTCCACACATACACTAGAGACGTCAACATTAGCCAGAAGTATGGTTGTCCACACATACACTAGAGACATCAACATTAGCCAGAAGTATGGTTGTCCACACACACACTAGAGATGTCAACATTAGCCAGAAGTATGGTTGTCCACACATACACTAGAGACATCAACATTAGTCAGAAGTATGGTTGTCCACACACACACTAGAGATGTCAACATTAGCCAGAAGTATGGTTGTCCACACACACACTAGAGATGTCAACATTAGCCAGAAGTATGGTTGTCCACACATACACTAGAGACGTCAACATTAGCCAGAAGTATGGTTGTCCACACATACACTAGAGACGTCAACATTAGCCAGAAGTATGGTTGTCCACACATACACTAGAGATGTCAACATTAGCCAGAAGTATGGTTGTCCACACATACACTAGAGACGTCAACATTAGCCAGAAGTATGGTTGTCCACACACACATTGGAGACGTCAACATTAGCCAGAAGTATGGTTGTCCACACACACACTAGAGATGTCAACATTAGCCAGAAGTATGGTTGTCCACACTAACACTAGAGACGTCAACATTAGCCAGAAGTATGGTTGTCTGGAAGATGTCTGGCTGATTAAGCAGAGAAGATAATCCATAACTGGACATTAGACAGCATTTTAACAGAGAGGTTATTATTACATTAATGAGACATAATTATTGTAAATAGAAGCTGATTATTGGGAACAGAAGCCGCTGACCTGAACTGTAACCCTTTCTCAGACTTGAGCCCGGCCCCAGGCACAGCTTCATGATCAGGGAAAGAGCACCGATGTCGGACTGGGTACCAACCGTTGTAGAAGGTCTCTGGCTGGCGGCTGCTCTTGATCTGTTGTACAGAGACAAGGGCTACAATAGGTCAATGGACGGACGCGGAGACAGAGACAAGGGCTACAACAGGTCAATGGACGGACGAGGAGACGGACACAAGGGCTACAACAGATTAATGGACGGACGCGGGGACAGAGACAAGTCTAGAGACAGTCACATGGACAGACACGGAGACAGGGACAAGGGCTACAACAAGTCAATGGACGGACGAGGAGACAGGGACAAGGCTAGAGACAGTCACATGGACGGACACAGAGACAGGGACAAGGCTAGAGACAGTCACATGGACACACACAGAGACAGGGACAAGGCTAGAGACAGTCACATGGACACACACAGAGACAGGGACAAGGCCAGAGACAGTCACATGGACGGACACAGAGACAGGGACAAGGCTAGAGACAGTCACATGGACAGACACAGAGACAGGGACAAGGCCAGAGACAGTCACATGGACACACACAGAGACAGGGACAAGGCCAGAGACAGTCACATGGACAGACACGGAGACAGGGACAAGACTAGAGACAGTCACATGGACGGACACAGAGACAGGGACAAGGCCAGAGACAGTCACATGGACACACACAGAGACAGGGACAAGGCTAGAGACAGTCACATGGACAGACACGGAGACAGGGACAAGGCCAGAGACAGTCACATGGACAGACACAGAGACAGGGACAAGGCTAGAGACAGTCACATGGACAGACACAGAGACAGGGACAAGGCTAGAGACAGTCACATGGACAGACACAGAGACAGGGACAAGGCTAGAGACAGTCACATGGACAGACACGGAGACAGGGACAAGGCCAGAGACAGTCACATGGACAGACACGGAGACAGGGACAAGGCCAGAGACAGTCACATGGACAGACACAGAGACAGGGACAAGGCTAGAGACAGTCACATGGACACATACGGAGACAGGGACAAGGCTAGAGACAGTCTCATGGACAGACAAGGAGACAGGGACAAGGCTAGAGACGGTCTCATGGACACACACGGAGACTGTGAGAAGGCTCGAATAGGCAGCGACATGGACGGACGCGAGGACAGTGACAACGTTAAAGACAATCACAAAGACCGATGCGGAGACAGAGACAAGGCTAGCGACATTCACATGGGCAGACAGGGACAAGGCTCGAGATAATCACATGGGCAGACAGTGACACGAAGACTGTGACAAAGTAAGAGACAATCACATGAATAGACGGGACACAGAGATTGTAACACAGCTAGAGACAATCACAGAGGTAGTTTCATGGAAGGACACGGAGACAGGGACATGACCAGAGACAATCAAAGAGGTGGCTCAGTGGGCCCGACCAGACATGCAGATGGAAGCATATAATACTACTGACATGTACATGTAAAGCTATTGGAATGAATGTGCTTCAAGCAGATAAATGAACGTATCTAAGTGCATAGACAACACCAGATGGAAGACGTCTCACAGATGTACACAACTGGCTAACTAAAACAAAAACTGCAAATGACAAATTCATGACATCTAGCGAATAAATGCCTTCCATGAGACCTCAAAGATGTGGTTCTACAGAAGGACCCGGTACATTTCTTGTGTAGTCCAAATGTGGTGATTAAAATGTTTTTGAGAGAAGCCAGGTAACACAGGTAAGTAACGACAAACGTCAGGCAGAGGAAGTCTTCATTGTTGCCACACGCTGTGAAGAGAAACAGAGGGACAACATAGAGGCAACCAGAACAATTCCCGGCAACAAAAATATAGGTAGACGGATTGTTGTCCGTCGTCTACCATAGAAGCACAGGAATGAACACCGCCCGTTGAAGAATAGTGAGACATGGACAAATATGATCACCCACGCTAGTCGACAAGGCACATGATGATGATGGACTTGCAAAGTCATCTTACCAACTTCCCATGACAAACAACCTGGAAATCGGATGGTGGACACAACTCGGCAAACCGATGCTTTCGAAAATACTGACCGTTGGTCAGTTGGCCCTGAGCCATGGTGACGGGATGTTGGACCTAACCCGTGCAGGAATTGGGGACGTTTTGAGTTGTTGGTGGAGGTAACGCTCAAACCTGTGCTCATCCGCAACACACAATTATTGATGACGACACCAGTCTGGGGTAGAAGACCACACATATTGATGACGCAATCACATCTGGGGCATATTTTGTAAACACCAACCTCCTCCTCGCCCCTTTTATCTGTGAACAGACAACAAAAAGACAAAGAAACAGACAAACAATCAATAGACGGACGTGCTCTGTCCTTCGATGCAGCAGCCATCTCATTGTTTCCATTCCCAACGTACCCAGCAAGATTTGACTGGCGTACCTTTTATTCCATAACCGGTTTCTGCATGCTTGTCCCATTTCTAAAAGACGGTTCAACTTCTTGGTTTCAAACTCTCTAGAACACAGCACATTTAGTATGCCTGCGCTGTCCATCCTTCGTCCTCCACCAACAACTGCAGTCACAGCCAGTGTGTCAGCTCTTTCAGTGTCCCAGTGTGTACAGCAGGCGTGTCCCAGTGTGTACAGCAGGCGAGTCCCAGTGTGTACAGCAGGCGTGTCCCAGTGTGTACAGCAGGCGTGTCCCAGTGTGTACAGCAGGCGTGTCCCAGTGTGTACAGCAGGCGTGTCCCAGTGTATAAAGGAGGCGAGTCCCAGTGTGTACAGCAGGCTTGTCCCAGTGTGTACAGCCGGCGTGTCCCAGTGTATAAAGGAGGCGAGTCCCAGTGTGTACAGCAGGCGTGTCCCAGTGTGTACAGCAGGCGTGTCCCAGTGTGTACAGCAGGCGTGTCCCAGTGTATAAAGGAGGCGAGTCCCAGTGTGTACAGCAGGCGTGTCCCAGTGTGTACAGCCGGCGTGTCCCAGTGTGGACAGCTGAGATAGTTTCTTGAGATTGGACTTCCGGATGCTGTCAACATATTCTAGTTAGAGTTTGCCCGTTTGGATCTTCTTAAGCATGCTCATTGAGTCTATTACAATCAGTGCTTGAACTGATTTCTGCTTCACTAGCCATGCCAGTACCCCTGTCACAGCCATGCCAGTACCCCTGTCACAGCTGCACCAGCCATGCCAGTACCCCTGTCACAGCTCCACCAGCCATGCCAGTACCCCTGTCACAGCTCCACAAGCCATGCCAGTACCCCTGTCACAGCTCCACCAGCCATGCCAGTACCCCTGTCACAACTCCACCAGCCATGCCAGTACCCCTGTCACAACTCCACCAGCCATGCCAGTACCCCTGTCACAGCTCCGCCAGCCATGCCAGTACCCCTATCACAGCTCCGCCAGCCATGCCAGTACCCCATATCACAGCTGCACCAGCCATACCAGTACCCATGTCACAGCTGCACCAGCCATGCCGCTATCCATGTCACAACTCCACCAGCCATGCCAGTACCCTCGTCACAGCTGCACTAGCCATGCCAGTACCCCTATCACAGCTGCACCAGCCATTCCAGTCCCCCTATCACAGCTGCACTAGCCATGCCAGTACCCCTATCACAGCTGCACCAGCCATTCCAGTCCCCCTATCACAGCTGCACCAGCCATGTCAGTACCCATGTCACAGCTGCACCAGCCATGCCAGTACCCCTATCACAGCTGCAGCAGCCATACCAGTACCCCTGTCACAGTTGCTATCTCCATCGCCTTGCTAGAAGTAGTTTTACTAAATACCTAAGTCTTCTTTGACTGTCCTCGCATTAATCGGTGCTGTGTATCTCGCCCCGACCGCAACTCTTGAATCCAAGGCGTCTGTACAGATCATGTGGTCACAAAGTCGCGTGTACTCGTGGATGAAGGGCCATATTTCCCGTTCAACCTACCAGGGAAATAACTAGCATATCTAATCTTTTTCTTTTCTTTCTCTGTTTCGATAGTGGATTATTCTGCTGGTCAAATACTTTGGGTTATTAAATATTGCATATACAGAATATTTCAGTAGTAACAGATTGCAGTACGAATTTTAAATTTGAACGTCTTTTGAAATAGTTGAAGGTTTCATTCTGTGAAGTCTACCTGTTTGGAATATTGACAGTGATATGGCACACGCCTACTCTGCCTCTCTACATGTGACATTTCATATGCAAACCCCTGTTGTTGTGATGAACTGTTGATTCCTTTCCCGAACTTCTCTCTGGAGCTCTCTGTCCTCAGCCTTGTTTCCATTGCCTCAGGTTTATTGCTGGGGGCCATATCAACGATTAATTGAGGGCAGTTCTTTAGAGAACAGGTTCTTTAAACATACAGCAAGAAACCAGAGTCTTAAATAAGCAGAAAGGGAAGAGACGCTTATTATGCAGTAAAAGAACTTGTTCTTTAGACATGCAGTAAAAGACAGGATCTTACTTATGGCTTGTGACAAGGTGTAAACTTCCACACGTGCCTGCTACATAACAGATTACATTATAAAGGCTAATTAATAACTCTGCGAAACAACCAGAATAATGCAGACAAGACTAATGTACAGGAAAAAACCCACCCAAAAGAATAGAAATCCAGCGCAGTAATTTACATTAAGGCAGCACACAGAGGTAAAATCTCCTACAGACACTCCACGTCTGAAGCAGTGGTAGATCCACCACTTGTGTCCCACATCTAAAGCAACGCTAGGTCCGCCACTTGTGTCCTCCATCTGAAGCAGCGGTAAGTCCGCCACTTGTGTCCCACATCTGAAGCAGCGGTAGTTCCGCCACTTGTGTCCCACATCTGAAGCAGCGGTAGTTCCTCCACTTGTGTCCCACGCCTGAAGCAGCGGTAGATCCACCACTTGTGTCCCACATCTGAAGCAACGCTAGGTCCGCCACTTGTGTCCCACATCGGAAGCAGCGGTAGGTCCGACACTTGTGTCCCACATCTGAAGCAGCGGTAGGTCCGCCACTTGTGTCCCACATCTGAAGCAGCGGTAGGTCCGCCACTTGTGTCCCACATCTAAAGCAACGCTAGGTCCGCCACTTGTGTCCCCATCTGAAGCAGCGGTAGGTCCGCCACTTGTGTCCCACATCTGAAGCAGCGGTAGGTCCGCCACTTGTGTCCCCATCTGAAGCAGCGGTAGGTCCGCCGCTTGTGTCCCACATCTGAAGCAGCAGTAGGTCCGCCACTTGTGTCCCCCATCTAAAGCAGCGGTAGTTCCGCCACTTGTGTCCCACATCTGAGGTAGCGCTAGGTCCGCCACTTGTGTCCCCATCTGAAGCAGTAGTAGGTCCGCCACTTGTGTCCCCCATCTGAAGCAGCGGTAGGTCGGCTACTTGTGTCCCACATCTGAAGCAGCAGTAGTTCCGCCACTTGTGTCCCACATCTGAAGCAGCGGTAGGTCCGCTACTTGTGTCCCACATCTAAAGCAGCGGTAGGTCAGCCACTTGTGTCCCCCATCTGAAGGAGCGGTAGGTCCACCACTTGTGTCTCACATCTGAAGGAGCAGTAGGTCCGCCACTTGTGTCCCACATCTGAAGCAGCGGTAGGTCCGCCACTTGTGTCCCACATCTGAAGCAACGGTAGGTCCGCCACTTGTGTCCCACATCTGAAGCAGCGGTAGGTCCGCCACTTGTGTCCCATATCTGAAGCAACGGTAGGTCCGACACTTGTGTCTCACATCTGAAGCAGCGGTAAGTCCGCCACTTGTGTCCACAACCAGATTGCTAGGATCTAGCCAGCTGTCAACAAACCTGAGTGACTATGCAACATGTCCTGTTTCTCCTCATAGACTGCCAACCAACTCCCACCCAGCTGTCCTGTCTTTTGTCCTCTCCGACTGCTTCCTTCAAGCCTTTTCCCCCCAAAAAATTTCACATGCCTTTCTCTGCTTCTTTTGGCCTGTTTCCAGTGAATAATAGTCTCACCCCCCCCCCTTCCATCCACCCAAACCCCATATATTATTAACAGATTGTCTTATGGCGCCAACCCCGCCCAATTCCCCTGTACTTGACCGGCTGGACTATGGTCAGCTGTCTCCGTAAACTGACCAAGAGTGATCCTCAATTCAATGAAATCATTCTGCTCTATACAGACACACACGTTTGTAGCTTACTGGCAATTGTTTGAGTCGCTTGTCGTGCCCACCCATCCATGAAGACTTAATGAACTGACGCCCAGAGTTCATTATTCAGGGTTTGGTCACAGGTTTTGTTTTTGATTTCCATATTTCACTGTGCTAATTTTCTATTCATATTTTTTCCTTTGTGAATTGTCCAAAATATACTGTCCAAAGCTGTTCGAATATGGCCTTTTTTCAAAGCTAGAGTTTAATCTCATAGCTGACTGTCACTGTTGCGTTATGAGTTTGATGACATAGCCGACTAGCAGTGTTACGTCAGAGGTTAGTGCAAGTGGTCACAGCTAGTCTTGAAACAGCAACAGATTCTGAGCTCACAGTCATTGGACCAGCATTCTGAGCTCACAGTCACTAGACCAACATTCGGAGCTCACAGTCACTAGACCAGTATTCTGAGCTCACAGTCATTGGACCAGCATTCTGAGCTCACAGTTACTAGACCAGTATTCTGAGCTCACAGTCACTACACCAGCATTCTGAGCTCACAGTCACTAGACCAGCATTCTGAGCTCACAGTCACTAGACCAACATTTGGAGCTCACAGTCACTAGACCAGTATTCTGAGCTCACAGTCATTGGACCAGCATTCTGAGCTCACAGTCACTAGACCAGTATTCTGAGCTCACAGTCACTAGACCAACATTCTGAGCTCACAGTCACTAGACCAGCATTCTGAGCTCACAGTCACTAGACCAACATTTGGAGCTCACAGTCACTAGACCAATATTTGGAACTGACAGTTACTAGACTAGCATTCTTAGCTCATAGTCTCTAGACCAGCATTCGGAGCTGACAGTCACTAGACCAGTATTCTGAGCTCACAGTCATTGGACCAGCATTCTGAGCTCACAATCACTAGACCAGCATTCTGAGCTCACAGTCTCTAGACCAACATTTGGAGCTGACAGTCACTAGACCAATATTCTGAGCTCACAGTCAC